ATCCTAAAAAATAAAATGCATTTTGAAATCAGCTATTCAGAATCATGTTTATGTAGCAAATTCATTTATTTTTTACTGGTTGACTTACAAGGGCCATAAATCTCAATGATTTTGTGGATGTATTTTGCAACAATATAATTTTGCATACATCAGTAAAAGAAGCTGCATTAATAATATTGTGGCTCAAAATGAATATGGATAAATTGTTCAGTTTGTTCAATTGTCTGTGTTTTTAAATTAAATATTGATTTCTATTAGGTTTGCATTTGAACTTGGTGAATTATTTCAAAGATTAAATTGTAATATTTTATGAGTAATTAATTAAATGAATTAAAACCACAGTATTTCATTTACCAGAACCAAAAATATAACATTATAATGAATTAATTATTTTTTTGTGTGCCACCCCAAGTTCGGTGTGGCCTAAAATTGCCACCCCAATGAAAATTTTCCAGGGGCGCCACTGCATGTGGAACTCTGACTCTACTTCTCATGTTGAATTCTGCTACTCGAATTTTGCTCATGGACGCATGTTTTGAAAGCCTCTCTGACTAAATGAATGAAATATGCTGTTTTCCACCAAAGCAACCTGGGCTGCTGAAATATAATTGGCAGTGTGGAGGTTAAAAGAACCAAAACCAAGACAGCGTTTCAGCACTTTTTCAAAGCAGAAAAGGTGTCTTTAGCATTATTTTTCTGATAAACAAGTATGTTTACAGCGTGTTTGTTAAATATCTGCAAACATACTATGGAATTTTTATACTTTAGAAGAGTCAAAAAGTTACAGCACCTTTAAGCAATGAACAGCAAGAAAGAGACCAATATAAAGAGACACCAATATAAAGTCAAAAGGTCTTAAAAATGACAGAATAGAGATTTTGCATTGTATGCCTATACTGCCATCACCATGAGTCACATATTTCCTGCTAAGATCTTGTTATATTTGTAAACATATATTTACAGGACCCGTGCAGAAGGATGTTGTGCAGAGGTTTAAAGAAAATTTAAGTGAGTCTTCCTTGACTACGTAAAAGATGGGCAGAAAAAGAGGAAAATGTTTTGAGAGAGAAATGAGTGGAAGAGAGGGAGAGATTAAAAGAAAAAGGGTGAGTGTTTTTTTTTTTCTTCCTAAGCTAAGTTCTAAGCTAATGCGCAGCTTTAGTTACACCCACCCTGAGCCGGCAAATATAAGCAGAACTGCACATACACACACACACACATATCCATACAAAACGGCAGCCTCCTCTGCACTGGCACCGTAATCCCTTCTCTCCCATTCACTTCTGCACACACACGCTCTCAATGGGAGTGAGATACACCCTTTGTTGCTGTAACAGAAACCTGGCATGCTGAAGCCAAAGGCTGGTGGTGCGCACTGTCTGTGTGGCCAAAACGGAGAGAGAAACACAGAAAGGGAATGACATGGGAACATAAACTCATAGAAGCACATGCAAAAGGACAAAATAAGAGTGTTCGTTTCAGTGCCAGTACATTTAATCATAGCCAGAAGGCATGATGTAGAAATGTTAGGGTAAGCTCTGCTTTTAACCTCTCTGCCTGTCAGCGATTAGTCATGTGAGCTGATCTGCTAACTCAGAAAGGATGCTCAGGCCCAAAACAGACCAATCGCGAGTCAGACCTGGAATTCGCATGTCTCTGTCCAGAGTTTGGTCAAAATGATGAAACTAAGAGAAATGTCCTCTGTTGAAAATTCACACCTGAACAGCACACTGCAGCAGGAGTTTTCATGGTTGGAGATATGCTCCATTTTGGATTATTGCAAAATAAATGCTAAATCATTTCCAAATGCTCAAAATGTTTTTCAAATTACACACTTTAAAATAAGTGCTGCCTTAAAGAGATATTTCACCCCACATGATTAAATCTATCATCATTGACTCACCTCTTACTTGCTCTTATGACTTTTATGAGTTCACAAAGGGAGATATTTAGAAATAAGCTGTAAACCTGTAACCACTGACTTCCATGATATTTGTTTTTCCTACTATGGAGGTCAATGGTTTAAAGTTTTCCACTTTCTTCAAAATATCTTCCTTTGTGTTCAACAGAATAAAGAAACTCTTACAGATTTGGAACCATTGAGGGTGAGTAAATTGAAATTGATGAACTATTTTAAATGTTTAGCTTGAATCAAACTTTTACAGGTAATTTCAACTTTCTTTACAGCAAACTTAAATTTCGAGATTTAAAACATCAAGTTGAGATTTGTGTCTTTTAAAAATTAATTTATTAATCATATTTTCACATTGTGTTTTAATTGTCTTCCATAATGTCAATTCATTTAAAAATTATATATTTGGCTCCGCTTTAAAACCCTTTCTCAAAGTTTGCAATAACTCCGAATAGACACCAGTAAGTCCACATGGTTCCCATGAAACAACTATATGTATTTAGTTTTATTTATATTTATTTTATTAACAAGTGGATGTTAAAAAAGGCAGGTGTTTGATACCAAAACGCCCATAAAATCTTTTGGTTGTCCCTCATTTATGCTATTTTTCCTGTAATACTGGTTATAGCACCTATATATTTACAGTGCTCAACATAATTAAGTACTCCCCATTTTGAAAATTAATATTTTATCTATTTCTCAGTAAATATAGGCGATGTATTTTGGTGCATTTAAACAAAACAGATTTATAGAATAGATATATTTATTAAAATGATATTTTAGCCCCCAAACATATTTAGAAATTGAACGATAATACTATTAAATTTAAGCTAAATATGGCAAAAAAATTACAACCTACAAAATTAAACTAAATTTTTCAATTGTTTTGCTTCTCTTGATTTTTCCTCTTTTTAAAAATTGTGTTTAATATTTTCCAATAACGTATAAATTTGGGTGTACTAGTTTTTGGACCATTATCGTAAGTTATTTTGTTAGATAAGCTCCAGATTTGGCTTCAGTACTGACTAATCTATGTATATGCACAAATATAATATTGTATAGCTTCCTATTAAAAATATGAATTAAAAAGATACATTTGTGAGGGGTGTACTTATATATGCTGAGCACTCTATATCTCATCAGCAACAAAAACACTTTTATAATTCTGCTTTATATTCATGAAAAATACCTCTTCTATTATATACTAATGATCGTAACACATGCAATCACATAAAGTACTGTGAAAATGTAGCTTGCTGAGGTTATTTTTAGCCAGCAAATGCCTAATTTCAGAGGCCATTATCTTACTAAATCACTTTAACGTTGCTATCTTCTTCATAATTGGTGTGATATAGTTACTAATTAGTTAACTTGAAATTATATCTCTTTTATGTCACTTAAAGGTGTTTGAAAGATCAAGTAATTAGCTTAATATGTGCCCACACGTTTCTATATTCCCACATTGTTTATCCTTTTGCAGAGGTTCATGCGTTACTGTTGTAAATGAAAACTGATTTTCTCTAACAGCTCTGTACAATTTCTTTGTGCTAACAAACCACTTAAAGGGTCAAAAAAGGAATCTATTTCTTTTGAGAAAAGTAAAATAACGAGTTTATTTTTAGGTGACTAAATAAAAAACAACATTCATTTAAACACATTTACCTCAAACGGCAATTTCATCTAAATAAAGCTGTGCTTTGAGATGTTAATTGGTCTGTTAATATCTTTTCCAACTAAAGGGGTGCACATCTGGGACAGATATGCAGGGTTCAGCTAATCAAAGAGGATTTACTGCTGTCAGTCAAACATTTTATTGGAACCGACCAGTCAATACTAGCTGCCGGGCAAAACGAACATGGTATTTAAACAAGGTGGAATACCTCTTTAAGAATCGGAGAACATCAAAGGGGACACATTCCGCTCAGCTTCATCCTTTGAATCCCAGACCTTTTGACAGAATTCCGGAGCTCATGGCAGATTCCGGATTGCTGAAGTGATTCTAGACCTTTTAGAACTCTGAGCAGGTTCTAGGACTGAGAGAAGATTCTAGAGCGAGGCATTGCAGTCTGGATGGGGCAGATACAGGCGGCCTGTTCTGCTTCTTCAGCTGCTGGAGCTGAGCTGCTGTCATAGCAACAGCAGCCGACATCACCAGCAGTCCCAGCATGGTCCTCGACACAGCCCCGGAGCACTCACACTGCTGCCTGCACAGAGAACATACCAGCACTCACACAAACAAGCTGCAACTAATATGTACACATACATGACCAGACTGACACAGAGTTTGTTTGGAAAAAACAGGCCAATTACACACAACCTCACATCAGAGGGCACTTGAACACACTTGACCACACAAGCAGTCAGAAACAACAACATAACACAATCCCACACCTTGCCAAGAATGATGGTGGAAAGTACATGGATATATACATAGACATAGAAATGTGTGTGTGTATATAATTGTTTGTTTTCCTGAAAAACATTGGAAATTATAACAAATATCTGTCCATAGTATTCCCTATTTATTAGTGCTTGAGCTGATCACAGTTTTACTTCAACAAAAATATCTAGAAATTAATTTTCAACTAAAGTTAATTTATTAAACACAATGAGTTTAGCATGTTTAATATATACAGTATTTCATGGTGTTGTCAGAGATTTAGCCCAAATATTTGTAGCCTATGAGTTTTACTAAAACAAATCTTGTATTGTTGTAAAATTGTTAGACTTTAAAGTCAAATTGAACATAAAATGTGTGCTTTTGTTTTGTGACTATATGAGTTTTGTTTTGAAATGTTAGTTACGTAGTCTATTGTTTGAAAGACTCAGAGAATCAGGATTTGGGGGCTACTTTAATATTATCATCTATCCACTCCTTTGTGAATGGTTTGATGTAGCTTATATTAGTTTTGTTTGAAGATTTTGTGTATTATTGCAAAATTGTCGAACTGAGAAAACTGAGTAGTTACCCTTTATATTTACAAAATGGCATCCTTGTTTTGTCAGTAATTTTATAATGGACGAAAACATTTAAGTCGTGGTGATATATCTGCGGGTAATTATTATTATTTTTAACAATGATGGAAGGTTTTAAAAACATTGAAGTTATCAAGTGGGTCATTTTCTTTCGTCTGAATCGGAAAATGTCTTTTTGTTGCGACACCAGATGTAGCCTCTTACCCGCTTTGTAACCGCTGCGTCCACGCGCTGCACAGTCTACTTCCTGAAAAAAGAGACTGAGAAAAAAAAAACAAAGCTACTACTTCGTTTCAGCTGCCTTTTATTTCTATCCAAACCACGGCAAACCTTTATGTCATAAAAACTACCAGTACATATTACATGTTGACGATTATAAACGAGAAATGTCAAATTGGGACGGTCTGTAGCGTGGCGGCAGCAGTGCACGCGCAGGTCCGATTCAAACAGGTGGAAAGAGTGGGACAGTCCTAGCGCGTGACGGAGCTTCAGAAGGGAGGCTGTTTCAACCGGCTGAGCGTTTTTTGTTTTGTTTTTGTTTGATACCTCAGTATTAAAATAATTCGAGTCGTTTTCGCTAAACACTCTTGCGTCCGTGTGACATCAACAGGCTTGTGCCACATCCCGTGATAGAACGCGCAGTCTCGCGCCGGTCGTTTGAAAAAGTGGGCCGTTAAAGTCTGTTACGCTGGGCTCTTTTTATCCGGTTTGTGGGTCTTTTTACATTTACGGTATCGACCCTTGGGGTTTTTCCCACTTGCGCTGGTCCTCGAGCCGTTTACGCACAGGTGGGAGATACCCGCTTGGTAGGACGGCCCCCTCTCTCAGTTCCTCAGCGGATGATGTGTGCAAGTGACATTTGCCGTTGCGGTTTGGGACAGTAGGCGAGGCGTCTCTGCAAACAGGTGTGCGGCTGCCCGAACCAGGCACACATAATACGACTTTTTTCGCCTTGTTGAAAAGAGGTGGACCTCCAGCACCGGTGTCAACGCGATCATCCTCGTAGCGGGACAGGGAGAGGAGGGGGAGTCTACTATCATTTTCAGGCTTTGTAGTTGCATTTGATCGTTCCGCGTAGGGCTCACAAAGAGGAAGGAATGGCAACTAAGAAACCATGCGCAGATTTAACGAAAAGGAGCCGAAGTCCCGTCGTGCTGGAAGCGGAGATGTTCAGCGAATTTCAGGACTGGTGCCTCCGGACTTACGGAGACTCGGGTAAAACAAAGACCGTCACGCGCCGAAAATATAACAAAATCATGCAGACCCTGCTGCAGAACGAGGAGTCGGACGGTGTCTATGTCGACAACAGCCACATCAACGCCAAATTCAAATTCTGGGTGAAGTCCAAAGGCTTTCAGGTCGGCAGCAACATCTTGGGCGAGCACAACAAGAAAGAGTCATCGGGGAAGCCCGTCCTGTACGTCCCTGTCAAGTCTACGGTAAAGTGCTTTTTCCACTTGACTGTATGTGAGTGAATTGTGTTTGTGTGTCTGTGATTGTGAGACTTGAACTCTCTGTGTGCTTCTGTAGCCCGCTGTCAATATGCTTCGGGACAGCGCTCGTTCGATTCCACCTACGCGCAACCCACATTGCTGTGCGCAACTTTTCAATCTTACACCTCGGGTTGACCGAGCATATTCATCCCTCACCCCAACCGGGCAGAACAGTCTTACTCCGAGAGCTGGCTGCCATAGCAACGCCGGTCCCTCTTAGCAGTAACGGCGGTGTAGTAATGGTATCTGACGAATTGGCATGACGTTGTCCTGCTGACGGGATCGGGATGTCACAGAAAATCACAGCGTGGCCCGTTTCTTTCCATCCGAGCAAATCGTGAGAACGTTAGTCGGGGCAGTGTGATTTTATTCACTTTGCTTTAACGTTATGTGTCACTGGACGGTTGGAGGCGGGCAGGCGCCCAGGCGCGCGCGTATGGTGAGCTCTCCAATTTTTGGGGACGCCTGGGCGCGGAGAGTTTTCCTATGGGGTTAATGCTACGGTGAACCTTAAAAACATGATGTAAATGAATGAGTATGACTGTCTGTGGGACTTCAGCTGCGCTCTTGGGCCACTTGAGGGTCTCGCGCAACATCCTCCTCTTGTGGGCATCTCATGACACTCGCGCGCACGCCGATCAATGTTCATCCAGAGCAGTATTAAACAACAATCGGCGTACTTTAAACAGGTGCACTCCGAAATGGGCAACTGTTTCACGATCGTGCTCTGTACACTGTAGAAGAAAAGCACTTGCATTGTTCTGTACCGGATGAGGGCGGAGCGGACGGTTGGCACCCGTTGCTCCGGTAACCTACCTGTTCTGCTCTACAATGCTCGCGTTTTTTTCACACATCCCAGGACTATGACAGAATCCATCATTAGAAAGACAGCCGGGGTTCATTTAAAACCAGCCCTAGGGCCTAGAAATGGACAAAACATGTATTCTGAATATGTTGCTTTGGATGAATAAAATACATTTGGTCACAAAGCTAATTTAAGCATCCGGTTTGGCCAATAATAGTTTTAATAACACTTTATTGGACTGCAATCATTGTGACGATGATTGCACGAGGGATTGATGTTTTTATGATAAGAGATTATAAAAAATGACCACATTTACTACAGCCTACAAAAGGATGTGATTTACATCCCAGACTGTTTTCTTGAACACTAGGAGGTCCTCGACTACCACTGGTGCACGCTCAGAGTGTCATGAACAGACACCATTTTGAGAATTGCCCTCAAGGGGTCCCACCAACAGACCTTTGTCTGCCATCCAGTAGGGACTGGATCCCCAGAGACTGGCACACCTCAGCCTGAGAAAAATAAGCATTCAAATTAGTGACAGAACTATTTTGTAATGAGCACTTTCATTCTTGTTTCAGTATTCACATAAAGTCCCAGTTGTTTCAGAACACAAGTAATCATGTCAACAGGAGCCACCAAGTCTTTTGATCACTTTCTACAAAATAAACATTCTTCTTCTTTCGTTCTTTTTAAATAACCAAAGCATTAGTGTCAATTAATCCTCGTTAGCAGATAATTGCTATATGCAAGCATTTGACAGCTCCTAACAGGCAGCTCGCAGCGTGCTTTTAATTTATAAGACTGTGTTAAGAAGAAATGAGGCAGAACTCTGAACATAGTAATGTCTCCCGCCACCGTTAACCCTTCACACAGACGTGTGGGTTTAACTACCCAAAGGACGTCCAGTGAGCCTGTGGCAATTACAGATCCTCTACCCATGAATTGCCTCTGTAATGGAATGAATGTGCAAAGTCAGATGTAAAAGTGAAGTTCATGATTACACATCTGAATTACTTGTTGAGATATACGGCCCTCCCCCCAACATACACGCACGTCTCTCCACCCACCACTTTTTCTCTCTTTCTCTGAGGACATGTGGCTGATCTGAGGTCTGTATACACTGGCATTCACTATCATTATTTAACAGCTCCCTAATGCCGTGTTTGTTTTACCCTTCATCAGTCATTCTGTCCCTCTGTGGAGCCTCTGTGCATCCTAATACAGCCTCTCTTCACTGCATGACACATATACTATATCTCACAAATGATCTGTCAGTCACACAGATGACCAGTTCTGTCATATGGAAGAGGTTATCTGATCTATGCCCACATATATATATATATATATATATATATATATATATATATATATATATATATATATATATACACACACACACACACACACACACACACAATTGAAGTCAGAATTATTAAACTCCCTGAATTATTCGCCCTCGTTTATTTTTTACCCCAATTTCTTTTTAACAGAGAGAATATTTTTTTCAGCACATTTCTAAACAAAATACCTTTAATAACTCATTTCTAATAACTGATTTATTTTATATTTGCCATGATGACAGTAATTAATATTTGACTAGATATTTTTTGCAATACACTTCTATACAGCTTAAAGTGTCATTTAAAGTGACATTTATTACATTACATTTAAAGGCTTAACTAGGTTAATTAGGTTAACTAGGCAGGTTAGGGTAATTAGGCAAGTTAGTGTATATTGATGGTTTGGTCTGTAGACTATCGAAATAATATATAGCTTAAAGCGGCTAATTATTTTGACGTTAAAATGTTTTTAAAAAATTAAAAGCTGCTTTTATTCTAGACTAAATAAAACCAGAAGAAAAAGTATTATCAGACACTTTGTGAAAATTTCGTTGCTATGTTAAACATCATTTGGGAAATATTTAAAAAATAAAACTAATTTTCACGTATACATTGTGTGTGTATATATATATATATATATATATATATATATATATATATATATATATATATATATATATATATACACACACAATGTATACGTGTGTGTATTTCTATTCATATTAATTATCATTTAAAAATATTAAAGCACACAAATTATTTAAATCATAAACATTTTGCATTTAATATACTTAATATGTTTATAAAATCGCTTCTATAAGTATAATATAACAAAGACACCACAATGGGACATCATGGGTTTGGCTGAAATGATGATGAAAATTTATGCCTAAAAACATATTCCTGCCCATCATATTGTTGGTTGAGGGCAACACAGTTGGAAATTTTTGTTTAAATATAATTATTATTTATTTATTAAATTTATTATTTATTTCATCTTAATTTATTTTATTTTATTCAGTATTTTCAATATTTAATATTTTGGCTGGAATAAAAGTTTTATAATTTTTAAAAAACATTTTAAGCTCAATATTATTAGCCCCCTTAAGCAATATATATTTTTCAATTGGGAGACCTAACTTGCCTAGTTAACCTAATAAACCTACTTAAACCTTTAAATTGGACATTAAGCTGAAACTTGCATCTTGAAAATATCTAGTAAAATGTACTGTCATCATGGCAAAGATAAATCAGTTATTAGAAATTACTTAAGATTATTATGTTTAGAAATTATAAAAATAATCTTAACTCCATTTAAACAGAACTTGGGGGAAAATATTAAAGACTTAAAATTTAACAGGAAGGCTAACAGTTCTGACTTATAGTCTATATCATATTCACTCATTCAATATCTTTATGGCTTAGTCCCTTTATTAATCAGAGGTCGCCACAGCGGAATGAACCATTATCTTATCCAGCATATGTTTTATGCAGCTAATGCCCTTCCAGCTGCAACCCATCACTGGGAACGTATGCGTCGTATTAAAAAGAATTGTTTGAGTAAATCTGTTAACATGCACCTAACTATAGGCTCAAAGTTGTCAGTCTTCAAAATATGAATCATGGAAACTTTCTCATATAGGCTAATAAACTGAAGTACTTTCTCTTATGCCCACCCAGTCGTGCTGTTGACCAGACAGCATGCCACAAAGTGGCCAAGAACAAGGAAGCGCAACCATCCACACTCTTATGCACTAAGCAAGCGAGATGTTCACATCAGCATTATTATCTCATTAAAGACTGAAACAGTAGGGGATCCTTCCCAACCTGCTCTATGTACGCAAATTAGACAACAAACAAAGAAAGAAGAACAAACAAAACAGAGCCGAATAATAAGAGGAACAGAGGCAACCGGGGACCTTTTTACAGTAATAGGATACAGACAAAGTGTGGCACAATATCTCTGTGCTTCCCTTTAGTACCATACATGTAGCTAATTGTTTGTATCGTGTACAACTTTGCTTGTTAAAACACAACAGATCTGGTGCGTTCATTAAATAGGATTTGGTTTGCTTTTTTAAAACGTTAATTTCTGTGTCTACCTTTATTTCCTGCTTCTATTTTTGTGTCAAGAGACAGATAGTGAATGCTGTCGCTTATCAGTCACTCTCTCTTTATCATCAGCAATAAACACGAAAAATGACTTCACCCAGACTGCTCTCTGCCAGCTCCCATCTGAACATTCTCCTCTCCGTTTTCCTCTTTTAACCCCCCCCAAATGTGAGCAGTGTCTTCCCTTTCACCTCCCCCTGGGCTGCATGGAGCCGTGCTGTGGCTTGAAGCCCTAGTGCAGTGTAGGATGCAGAAGAGTGGCAGAGGACCTGTCTGATGCAGCTACTCCATGCGTGTGCCAACTTTAGGAAGGAGGGGGACCTGAGCAAGGGTTTGTTTTTGTCCTGTGCTGTTAAAGAGAAAATCCCTCTTGGATTTTGTGATTCTGCAGTCTCAGAATTTAATGCGAAATCATGTCACAATAGTTCTAGGTTGTTGTAGATTTTGGGCTGCCTTAGATGCATCTTGTGACTATAGCCCAATCCCAATTCTCTTTTTTTTATCCCTACCCCTTCTCCTTGGTCATTGAAACAGAGTGTGAAGGGGAAGAGCTTCAGATCTTACCCCTAAAAAATGGGACTCCACTACCACACCTGCACACATCATCACATGTCATCGTGAGCTCTTGCTTCATATGAGATTGATGACAGTAATAAGCTTATAACTGTACTGTGTATTTACACCAT